CCAGGCCTCGCTGCCGCGGAGGCCCTCGCCTCCCTGGGGAAGCCGGACTTCGGCCCTGCCGGGGCGCTCAGGCCTTTGGCCTGGACCACGTTCCGGTTGTCCAGCTCGCCGAGAGCAGCGTCGCCCGGGGCGGCCCTTGGGGCTGCTGCTCAGGCTCTCGCGCTTGCCTGCTGCGCAGCCTCCAGCTGCCGGGCCAGCGGGGAGACCCGCTTGCCCCGCACGCAGGTGTCTCAATACACAGAAACAGGCCAGAGCACCTGGCAGCTCGGCTCAGCCTGTCAGTGCATCCCAGCAGAGCAGGGGAGGGTCCCCCAAAACCTTACGGGAAAGGAAAGCGTGATCTGCTATTGCTGGCTGCTCTCTTTGGGGGCTGAGGTGCGAGGTCCGAATGAGCGAGCGACGGCTGCAGCTCTCCATCGGCGCAGGGTTGGTGGTATCTGTCCCGTTCCTAGTCACCGCTTGCAGTGCTCTGTCCACTGGAGGGAGGGCTGGCATTTGCGTTCATCCCCTTGGCAAACAAAGGACCAACCTCTTGAATGTCTTTCCCCTTTAGCTTGCTGTTCTCCCTGCTCTGCGGCAATGGCTTCCAGCGGGGAGGAGCAGAGCAGCAGCTCCCCGGACTGGGCGGACAGCGGCACGGACCTGTCCTGCCCGGAGCTCGCTGGAGCCAGCACATCCCCGCTTGACAGCGGGGAGGATTTTGAGGTCTTGGAAGATGATGACGATGACTTGAGCGAGCTGCCCCCGCTGGAGGACATGGGCCGGGTGAGGACCCCAGCGAAGGACTCCCAGTCCTCAGAGCAGGCCCCAGGGGAAGCAGCTGAGGACCCTCAGGAATGGCTCGATGTCTTGGGTAAGAGCCTACAGAGGAAACTTCTGCATCTTCTGCTCCTGTCCAAGGCGCTGAGCTGGCTCACGGAGCTGAACGGGCTTCTTCAGGGGAGGTCGGAGGAGGTGGGCTTCCCCACAGCTCTTCAGGCACTCTGGGAGCAGCAGCCGCATGCCGGCAGGATGTGGCAGCGCAGGAAGGACT